TTGGCCAATCACAGACCACCATGAGAAGTCAGTGATGATGTTGACCAATCACAGACCACCATGAGACGTTTATGACGATGTTGGCCAACCCATGATTTATTATTTTTAGTCATTAAGAGTAGCCAGGTGCCTATAAGAGCGCAACTAACCTATATTCAGATGCTGTCATATAAACAAGTAGTAATTATCGAACGGCGGTGTAACATAATATTGATGATGGCATAATGACTCTCCAACCGCTGTACTACTTTATGGTGAATGAGGTATTTTCAAAACTAATATATCAGCCTTGATCGATAGCCTATAATCAATCGTTGAATACAAACACACAAACAGACATACTCGTTAAAGCTTCAACTTATTTTTTTTCTTCAAATTTCCTATTTGGTAACGATAAATTTCTAAAAAAAAATGTGTTTAATGATTTCCAAGAACTAACTCTACAGTAGATCGATGAACGACTTGACACAAATTGCGGTCATAATCATTAAGTTACAGCTGTGTAACTATATAAAGAATTTAATCACAACTTCCTGATTATTAATAGGAAGTAAATTCTTTCACACTTCGTAGTAAATCAAGTTTCCTGTGAAATATTTCTGAAAGTTAAAACAAGAGTCAACATAATTGATTTCACTCGAACGCTAAAACGTGAATATGTGACGTCACACCATGGCCTCTATGGTGGAAACACAAAACTAAGGATTTTCTCTAAGTAACAGCGGGTTGTTGTTGTTATACTTTTGAAATATTTTATCAATCGTTTATATATTTCTATTGATAAATTGTTTTACAAAATCTCCTTTATAAACCCAATTTCCAAACAGTGAAGATTAATGCTTCAAATTTTGTCCTTGAATCACACGCTAATAAATCCTCTTTTAAATGTTATCTCCTCGATCATTGAGAATATAAACCGGGACAGTTTACATTACTCATTTAGCTAAATTTCTTACAATGCGTCTGGATACGAATACAAGCCCATTATCACTAATCCAACTGATCAGTAACACATAAGCCAGTAACAATAACCCAAGGTGATCGGTAACACATAAGCCAGTAACACTAACCCAAGATGATAAGTAACACTAACCAAGATGATCAGTAACACACAAGCCAGTTACACTAACCCAAGATGATCAGTAACACTAACCAAGATGATCAGTAACACTAACCAAGATGATCAGTAACACTAACCAAGATGATCAGTAACACATAAGCCAGTTACACTAACCCAAGATGATCAGTAACACTAACCACTAACCAAGATGATCAGTAACACTAACCAAGATGATCAGTAACACATAAGCCAGTTACACTAACCCAAGATGATCAGTAACACTAACCAAGATGATCAGTAACACATAAGCCAGTAACACTAACCCAAGGTGATCAGTAACACATAAGCAGGTAACACTAACCCAAGGTGATCAGTAACACATAAGCAGGTAACACTAACCCAAGGTGATCAGTAACACATAAGTCGGTAACTTCACAACATGTCTTCCACATGGCTCGTTGGGAGGCTCAGTTCGTCTCAACAGAAACAATAACAGTGTGGTTGTATCTCTGCTAACACAGACTTTAATGATAATATTTTAAGATGATATTGTAAACATTTTGTTGTAAAATATCCACGAGTTTAATTGGTCGCTGTAGTTAACGATGGCGGCAACAGTTTCAACAGTTTTCAGGATGATACTCGGGTGAGCCGTCTTCATTGTTCTCAAGAGCGATAAAACATTCGTCTCCGCCCGCCTGTGTGTCTTTCATTGTTAACTATTCACACGTGGCATGTATACTCCCCTTTAGGCGCTAAGGTCTAGTTCCACTATGAAAGTCCCGGACGTGAACAATCTTATTTAAATATCAAAAAGCTGAGTGATAATTCTCTCTCATGTAATCTTTGTTATTTATGGTCGCAGGCACAGGACTGAATACCGTGTGCAACAACAACTTTAGCGTCTTACAATGTTATGAGCGAATTTTCTTGAAATATTTCTTGCACCGAAAACAAGAAGGTGTCATCAATACTTCACGAGTGTTAAAACGTAAACAAATTATGCCATAAAACACGATTTTCTACTTCCTAGCATTATGTTACTGATTTATTTCACAGTATGTTCTCATTTTAAGACTTAATAACGAAGTACCAAAATGTTTACATATTTTTAGACGCGTTATAACAAGATCAATAACTAACATTTTTATTATATTTGTTATATTTTCAATTTTCAGTATTTGTAGAGGTTTCGTTCGACAGCTACGGTAAGTGTCGAGGCAACACGTATATCTGCCATGAAGTCGACCACATGGTGTCTTGTGGTGCTAGTTTACCAACACGAGGTACAGTTATTGAGTCCAGCTTAAACTTCTTCAGTCACACCTTTATGCAGACTTTACTGAGTCTTCTTTCAAAGCTAAGTTTTGTTTCATTATTAACTAGAGCACATAATTATATCATCCTATAAATGTTGGGTTATTTCCACAGCAGCCATATATTGTAGTATTGTAACTGTTCAACTTATGAGTTCTACTCCAGCAGCAAGAGATGTATTTATACGATAATCACACTGAGGGTTACAGGTAGAGGAGTCCCTGGTTAACACTACAACGTCTTCTACCATCATTATATTTTACTAAATATATTGACCCCTGTGGTGGGGTACTGTTTGTGTGGAATACTCGCTACTGAAGGAGTTGAACACTAATGCGGTCATTACTTCTCTCACTATTAACTTGCCAATAATACAATAATTTCTCTGATATTACTATTACTACTACCAATACTACTACTACTACTATTACTTCTTTCTTTAACTATTCTACTTCTACATAAAATAACACGAGTACTTCAATAATACATACACGTCCAACTCGTGCATGTGTGTGTGGTCCACACACCATGGGTACTGACCACAGCCCGATGGTTTACTGTACTGCACCCGCTCCAGATGATAGTGTGTTGTGTTAACGGTATTACTTCACACCGGAGCAATTAAACCGGTTGCGGTCGACAAATATTGTATTGAAGACAATTCATTCCTTACCTCGAGAAAAAATGAAGAGGAATTGCAATTTTCGAAATATGTTTTGTAATTTTTGCCTATAAATAATGGAGTTCAAGCCGCTATGTTCAACCGACGCTATTTTTCGAGTTTGGCTTGATGTCTATAAACAAACGCTTCCCAGCGAGTGTTCCATTCACACGAACGTTACTGCTACGTTATATTATTTATAGGAAATGAGATGAACTTACCTAACTTAACCTTACCTAACGGTGATGTAAAATGTTTCATTTAGGTTAGGTTAGGTTCATCTTATGTAGCATAAATCATATATTGTAGCAATCGCTGAAAGCGTTCTGGTGTATGAAACAGTCACAGGTAAGAATTTTTATTTAAAACACGTAAAATGGCGTCGGTGAGATGTTGCGGGTGAACATTATTATTGGTCAGAACAAAGGAAGTCGGCAAAAGAAAAATACGAAAACTACAATTCCTCTTCCCTTTTTCCTGACTTTCTCGAGGTAAGAAATGACTCGTCGTCTTCAATACAACACTTGTCAACGGTAGGTGGTTTAGGTGCGCCAGCGTAGTCAAGTATTACCGTGTTAACATCCTATCGTTATTCTAGCTTTGTGGTGAAATAGAGGAGGTTCACATGACACGGTGTTCCCTGCAGGGCAATACAATATAATACTGAAGATCGGTTTAGCTTAGTACACCACAGATAAGAAATATGAAAATAGCTATACATAACTTAGCTAGAATATAATAGCTGTAAGTTATAGGGAGAAGGTATAAGACATAAGAGGGGGGGGTCCACAGCCATGATATACAAGGAATGAAATGAGTGAGAAGACAACAGGAAGCTTGCGTGTAGTAGAGATATTGAACCAGTAAAAAGTGTTGCCAGAAGTGAAGGGGAGGACGATGATGGATTGGGTGTTGTAGGTGTCCCCCACAACCCCTTATACTAAGTACAGCTGAAAATAATACCGAATAATTCTGAAATAAACAAAAAACATATTATAAGGCTATTTAACCCCTTGAGTACGATGACTTAATCCACCGTTTTTGTTTTTGTTTTTTTTACGGGGATTATCCCACCCGGGCACAGGTCACTGACCCACATCGGGGCCTGGGGGTGAAAATGTAATAATAATAATAATAATAATAAATAATAATAATAATAATGAGATCAAAAGTGAGAAACAATATATGTATGTTGTGTTGTCAATAGTAAGAGAAACAATTGAGACCCTGCAATTGTGTGTAAATGAGGCAGAAAGTCAGATCAGCAACCTGAGACTTGGTCACAATTTTCGTGATGCCATATGGCAGCAGGGTCTACCATAGACAACACATTATGCTTCCAATATCTTCCCAGGTGGTAGTACCTCCCTGTTTGGTAGCTGCCTACTACCTACCGAGGATTTATTCCGTTGAGTATGATAACAACCCCAAGAGGACAAAGTTAACGTACTCAAGGGGTTAGACTGTCGTACAGAAAGGGTTGTCATCGTACTCAGTGGGTCGTCATCGAACTGAAGGGGGTTAAATCATCGTATTCAATAGGTTGTCATCGTACTCCGAGGTTAAGTCATCGTACTCAATAGGTTGTCATCGTACTCAAAGGTTAAGTCATCGTACTCATTAGGTTGTTATCGTACTCAGAGGTTAAGTCATCGTACTCATTAGGTTGTCATCGTACTCAGAGGTTAAGTCATCGTACTCATTAGGTTGTCATCGTACTTAGGGATCAATACACAGGTCGTGGTCATAGGCCTACTGGTGCGCCTCCAGCGGTTGTGTTCATTATGCCTTATGTTTCTGTCTCCATTGTCCAAGAGGCGGGCTGTTAAGAAACCTTTACCTACAATGACTACTCCACCTCTACGTCTATTACTACGTCTCCTATTACGTATACTACTAATATTATGTGTCTACTTCTACTACTACCTCGACGTCTACTACACAACAGGAAGCAGTACTGACCGTAAACATCAAACGCCAGCGGGTAGTCCTTGTCGGCGTCGGAAGCCTGCAGCCGGTAGATAATCTCCCCGGGTTCCGTGTCGATGGACAGCCACAACACGGACATCTCGTTCGCTGAGTAGAACTGCGGCACCGTGGCGGCAACGTGCGGCACGATAAATGCCGCCATCGCCGCCGCCACTGCCGCTAGAGCTGCCACCCACCCCCGTCGCCACCTCCTCGAGGGCGGTGTTGGCGGCAGGGGAGGGTGGCGGGGCGGCCGTCGTGCCATCAAGTGGGTGAGAGGGATGGCGAGGGGCGCTCCTCACACCCGCCTTGCCCTGGGTACACCACAGATAATCAACTTCACTTAAAACCAATTTGAAGTATCTTAAAAAGTTAGGTTTCCTCTCTATTTTATAAATTTAACTCAGTTATACGTAGCTGTCTTGAACAGTTAATTCTTCCACTTATAAGTATCTTGCAATGTTAACTCTCCTCACTTAATATATCACAGTTACAAGTATAAAAAATAATGTAGCTAAAGTTTAAAATAGACTAATTATAGTAATAAATATCTTCTATGTATATATATATCTGTTTCTATCTATTATCCCAGCCGAGCACTTCTTATTGACTTGGTAACACTTCTGAGGCGACAATGTCTTATTTTGTCATAACTCCTGTTGCTCAATATGTACAATAAGGCTTGTGAGAAGCGCTTGTCTTAAAACCTGTGATGAATACAGATAAAAGTGTTAGAAGTATTAATACCTAAACATTATTTTCACCAGAAGATTCTGATAATTGTTATAGTTGTACACAACTGGAAGATAGATTCCATTAGTGGATAATAATAAAACATACGGTAGTAAATTCAGAGCACGGAGCAGTTACAGCACCACGTCCCAATGTTTCAAGGGAGACAACTCGTCTCACTGAGAACAAAGTTTAGTGACCCAAACATTTTCTTCTGTAGATATCATCTGACTTAAGCTTTAAAAAAAAAAAAAAAAAAATTATATATATATATATATATATATATATATATATATATATATATATATATATATATATATATATATATATATATATATATATATATATATATATATATATATATATATATATATATATATATATATATATATATATATATATATATATATATATATATATACTCTTGACGAAGATTCACACCATCTGGAAACAGACTTCAGATTCACTCAAATATGCGTCATGTCCCCATAAAAATGAAGCAACACTTTATTATAGGCGGAAGGACAGCAGCATAACGGGTGGAAAGATGAACGGAACTTCTCCGAAAACTCCTTTCACAATACTCCGCGGTCGTAAGGTATTTATTAATCCCACAACATAAGCAAACCAGTCCTCCTGTCTGTTAAATATAAGAGCCCCCCCCCCCTCTATTGAAGGGGGGGGGGCTATTGAGAAAGTCGTATGCCCACCAGCAGCGATGAACAGTAAGGTACACCAAGATCACGGAAGGAGGACGAAACCTTTGTACCAGTGTTAGTAAATAATAATACTAAGAACTATAATAAAATAATAACAACAAAATCAATAACAAACTGAAGAAGAATTACGACGACGCTAATTTTGAAGTGAAGCAAAGAAAACAGAAATACGTCACACATCCACGACAACAAGACCTTGAAGGGAAATAATAATAATAATAATAATAATAATGATAATAATAATAATAATAATAATAATAATAATAATAATAATAATAATAATAATGATAATAATAATAATAATGATAATAATAATGATGGTACAGTGTTGGTACATAATTCGTGAAAAATATATATTGTCTGATTAGTTATAGTTATATATATTAATTAGTTAGTTATATATAATATTTATAAACAACAGACGGTGCCCAACAACCAAGTTACAAAGAGGAGAAAGATGACAAGAAGAGGAAGAAGAAGAGAAGCAAAGGAGAAGAAAGAGGAAAGAAAAGGAGAAGTAAAGAAAAGGGAGAAGGAAGAAGATAAGAAAACGGAGAAGTAAAGAAAACGGAGAAGAAAGAGAAGGAAGAATAGAAGATAAAGGAGATGAAAGAGAAGGAAGAATAGAAGATAAAGAGAAGAAAGAGAAGAGGAAACAAAATCGGAGAAGAGAGGAAATGGAAAGAGACAAGAACTAAAGACAAAAGCGGGAACAAGGCAAAAAAAATGAGTAGAACAAAGCTAATAATAAAACTGGTGGTAGAAGCAACACGTCAACGAGTGGTATATTCTGTACAATATTCTTAAACCACCTGGTGATATGTTCCCATGATGTTGTTGACACGTGTAAACAAACTTAAGATCTTTCCTATAAATCGTGAAAACACAGGAAGAATTACTAATGGAGTAAGTTCAATAAATTAAACCTAGAGTAAAAGCGTATAAGGTTGACCGGCCCCTTACACCTTCCTGCTCCACAACACCTAACTACAATCTCTGCCATTACAACTTTTGATATACAATTTTTATCTTGCTAAAGTTTGTCAGTCGGTCAGTAAGTGAGGACAGGTAACAGTACAGGTGCATGACGCAGGTAACAATTGGGGGTTGCGTCAACTGCTGCTCCACCAATAGGAAGACGCGTGACTCACTCCTCAAGGCCAGGGGAGAACCGCCCACCACCCTGGAGGCTAAAATATATAAACCCTTTACTAAGTTTTATTTTTTTAAGTCATTACCTGGCCTGCTATCTTGGATATTCTGACCTTGTTTACACGAAACAACTTAATACATCTGAAAATATCCATGACAGAATCTCGTTACATTAACTGTATCAAGTAAACTAAACGGTCCCCGCCTTATGAACAATCACCTTACAGGATAACTTTTCTAATACTCAATATATGTTTACGATATCGTTCACACATAACAAAGTTGACAAGCTCTACTGATTAAACTCAACTGAGCGACAAACTTGGGTAATATATTCCCAATCCCACTTGGTGTTGGGAGTCAGCAACGTTCCTGCTAAATGGTTGCATGATGTCCAACTCTTTTGTATCACTACTGTAATACACGCTACATGGCGGCAACTTTACTTCGATACTTTGTGTAACTGATCAACACAGGTACCTGGGGGGAAGGTATAACCACTTAATTCTTCAATGTGTTAAATAACCCGCACTACACAACAGTTCATGTCCCCCCCCCCACAGGTCTTCGTGTAAGGGTGCCACCGTTCACACTCAGGTCGGATTGGACATATCCTGACGCAAATTGTCTGGAGACAGACGATATGTGACGCCGCGGTGGGTATTATGATTTTCTCAGCTTAGCTAATGCCTGTTACACGAGACTCATCTTTCTAGGGAGAGGGAAACTGTCTTCCGCCTAGGATAAAATTTGAAAGCTTCGAATAAGTGAGAAGTGTTGTTAACTTTTGACTCATTCGTTTGGATAATTTGCGTCAGAATATGTCAATTCCGGAAGTTGGTAATTTTCTTTACTTTATTACAACCTATTCTGTAATATTTCCTGATATCTTCTGTACTTGAGGCAAGTTTGAAAGTAAATCTTCAGTAATTTTTATGTACTGAGCGGTAATGGGAATTTAACAAGAGACGAATCGTGTAGAGTATCCTCACCAGACTAGCTAAAGTACTAAGTCATCATTAGTTCTTGTATGTGATTAATTGTGGTGGTGTTACGTGAGAATTAATTCGCCGTCAAAGACAAAGACCTAGTTTTTATAAGACTTAACCTCTGTATTATACTCGATACACGTCTCTCTCCACTGACTGAAGAGTTCAAGAGATTATCTCCCGCGTGTTGGTGACGTGAACTCACTAAAGACCGACGAGACACCATGCAGCGCTCCTAGTGGGGGAAGACATCTACCTAACAGAACTACAGGATCACGAACAGTGTTTTCCCTACTACCTCCTCCTCGCCACACTCTCTCTCACCCCTTCAGTAAAACAGGAAAATAATCTCAAGATGGCGATCATAGAAGATCACACATCTCAAAAACAAATACGTCTAACCGGTGAAATATTAGGCAGCTCGTCACCTTATGCGAAAAAATGCTTCTCTGGTGCGAATGATAAACTGATTTCCATAAGTGTTTAAGATTCGCTATCACTGCATTGTGGATTTTGTTATTCTTTTTACTAGATCACGGGGCCCCTCGCCTCTACTGTACTTCCGGGAGTGTCTGTAAATATCGCGTTTCGCCATATTCAGTTGTAGTGCAGACCTGTGTTGAGTGACTAATGACAACAAATCATAATCCTCCATTTTGAGATTCTAAACTACCGAGACAGAGTTATGTTTAGTCTTATTACTTTACCTGCCACGCATAGATGATTGCCAAACTGTACTCAAGAGTGCAAGTTAACTCAATATGTTGCCTTATGCACAAATATGGGGGAAAATACGTAGGAATCTTTGTGAATCTGAACTTAGCGTTTTATTATGGTGCGAGTGGGAAGGTCTGGAGCCCGCTGAGCCTCACACACTGGGTCCCTGACGCACGACTTCACCAATAAGGCAGATAAGACTTCTACTGTATATGTCTAATAGTTTGGGAGATCACGATTAGCAAAGACAGACAGAGGCACCCATATATAGACAACTTGTATTTATAGATAGGCCTTACAAATTAATACGAAAGAAAATTTTCGATTTTCAAAATTTTAAACTAAATTTTTCGTTTAAATTTTAATTTATCAAAAAATTACTGGGAAAAAATAATAATTTGTACCAAAAAATTAAGAATAATTATCTTTTAACACGTAGAATATAAACACGACACTCACAAGTCACTCACACGCACTGCTGGTGTCACAATACCAACTACGTGACGTTACTACCAGTACACGTAGGAAGTGTTGAGATACACTCCCTAAGTGTTGATGGTTGTTGTCGTGTCATGACCTACTTAAAGAATTTGTGCTTAGATATCTTTGTAGCTGAAGTAGAAATACCTAGACAACAACACAAACAAGCTGTAGGAAATAATATTTAAGTTTTAATAGATGTTCTCAGTGACAAGGTGTACGAAGATTAATTATCGTAGACGCTGTAACACCTTAACAGAAATGACACCAGAGAATTTAATTATAGATCGTGTCTTGTAGTGACACTCAAGTGTATAATCTGTATCACGTGTTGACTACTGAACGCTGCCACTTCACCTGTCTGATGAGACACTGCATTACGGCCCGTTCACACTAAGGACGGAACGGACATATCCTGACGTAAATTGTCCAGAGACAGACAATATGTGACGCCGCGGTGGATATTATGGTTTTCTCGTCTTAGCTAATAACTGTTACACGAATCACTGTCTTTCTAGGGAGAGGAAAACTGTCTTCTCTTTAGGATAAAATTTGAAAGGTTCGAATATTGTGCGAGATATGTGTTAATTTGACTCACTCGTTCGGATAATTTGCGTCTCAATGTGAGTCTCCAGTCTGACAATGTTCACGCCTCACATATTGACACACATCGACACATTCCAATGTTATAGCCTCTAAAGAGTGTACTGTGGTATGTCAAGGCGAGTCTCCCATCTAACACCTCCTTTGCCTTCAGCTAAACATCAATCAATCATTCAGTCTCTCGCGTCTTGAAAGTTTTCAGTCGAGTCGCCATCGTGTCGTAAGCGTTTCTTTTTCAACTCAACATCAGTCAGTTCATCCTACTTCCCATACACCTTTAGTCATCACGTCTTCATCGATTCTTTAAAAATCATA